TTTTATCCTCGAGGTAAACCTACCAGAGTGAACCATATTCCCTTTTACTGCTAACCTGGTTTGATACTATGGCCAAGGCCAACACTTGCTGTTAGGATTACTCCTTAAATTACTATTATTCTTGTAAAATTCACCCAAACTCTGGTACCCATCTTTCTAACTTTTTCTTCATCATCCCCTACTAGCCGCAATTCAGAACTAACCAACTTCCCAAACTTCCAATCCAGATGGCCTGATATGGTATACTTATGTATCCTTTTCCTCTGGTGATTCTGGCAGCCTAGTTGGTCATGTGCTCCTCTACACATCTTTGTCATTCGGTTTATCTGACAGTTCCAATAAAGGTGTTTCATGGGCTTCCATCAGTTCAATGGCACTATCAAAAGTTTGTACTACCTTTTTACTTGGGATTTCCAAGTGAGTTTCTGTCTCTTCAGTTTCTTAGCCTTCTACGCCTAGTGGTCTTATTATAGGTTTGCCCGAAGTCTTATACGACACTAGTTTTATATTCCTTTATGTATATGTACTATGTAATATTACATTTCATATAGATGCCCCAAGCTCCCAATGTTAGGTGAAATCTGATTTGGTGTATCTAAGATTACAGATGCCCAAAACTCAACTGATCAGCAAGAGACAGTTACTGTAATACAGGTATAATTTCCAAAATTCATCATCTGTGAGAATTGAACCTTAGACCTGTCACTTGAGGGTTGACAACCTATTCACTTCACTAGATTGCTACACCTCTATAATATACCAACTTAATACATTTGAATTAAAATATAATTATATAAAATTTTACATATTAATTTGCAATTAAATAAGAAAAAATATATTTTATATCAGGGGTTATTGATAACCTTCTTCTATTTTATAATTGTTTTTAGTTTTTTTTATCAAAAATTAGAGTTAGGGTGCAGTTTAATACTGAAATAGAGGTTAGATATTATGGTCCAATTTATAGGTTACACAAGGATTTTGGGTTCTGAACATTTTTACTTAACCTACCTGACCCCTATTTCTTAATCAATTTAATAAGATATAGCACTCTGAATATCAATAACCCCTGGTATAAATTATAAATATTCATTAAATAAATATATTTAATATTTAAAGATTTATAAAATATATTTATAAAAAAAAATTAAATTAACTTTTGATTATATATTGTTTAAAAAATCACAAAGTTGGTTAATTTTTTAAAAAATAATTAAAAAATTGAAATTTTTTAATCTATTTCTAAATTAACTAATCATAATTAAGTATTTTTTATGCTACTACACAAATATTTTGATGTAACCTTAATATATAAACTTGCAAAATTTCAACTATAATTATTATATATAAAAAAAGTTATAATAAAAAGAAAATTACTTATTTAAATTAGTTTATTATATAAAAAATTAGTAATTTTATATAGTAAAATTAATAATACATATATATAAAAAAGATAATAATTATAAAATTTTTTAAAATTTAAAAATTTTATTTAAATTTATATATATTTTATATTTATATTATTTAAAAATATATTAATTATTAATTTTAATTTAATTTTTTTTTATTTTTATTTTTTTTATTAAAGTGCTCTTTTTGGTCTTTTGATTTTTATTAATCACTTATTAGTATTGTGGTTCAATAAACCATTATAGAAGAGTATGCAATTGGCTACACATGTAACTTTTCTATTTTACCTATTTAAGGAGTCTGCCCAAAAGTTCTTTATCAATTGCTGTATCTAATATCACTGTTTGGATGTTTTACTTTAAACCCTCTGAACCTGTAATCTGTATTAACTTACTGGATTATACCCAAATGCCTAGATCATCATCTCAATCTTAGAACTAATTTATCCTTAAGGTAAACCTCCTAGAGCCTTCTGTACCTATTTTTATAGCTGACCTAGGTATTGCTATAGCAGAACTAACACTTATGATTAGGGCTTAATCATTAAACTACTATGTTCTTATAGAGTTCACTTAGACCCTAGCATTTATTTTATAGCATAACTCTAGTATTTTAGTATACTCCTGCCTTTTTACTTGCCTTTTTACCAAACTTCCAATCCAGATAGCTTGTGTAGAACTATGACTAGTCTATCAATATATTAAATTAGCCCAATATTCTTTTTTTTCAGTTTGTTTTAACAGCCTAGTTGGTAATATTTCTAAGACTTCCACCTAAAGGTTCTTGCTCATCTGGCTACTACAACTAGATACTATAACCTTAGTATTCATTTCTCTAAGCTAGCCTTTACAGTAGGGTTATCAAAGATCCAGCTACTTCACTATTTGAATCTTTTCAAATAAACTTCTTATTACTCAATTTCAATGAATTTACATAGCCACAAGGACTTATCTAGTGTTTGCACTACCTAATTTATTAGTTTGCATTCCTCTGTATAATGCTATACTTACACAAATGCCCTATAACCTGTCAGTCATGCTAGTATAACTGCTATTACAAGTATCTAGTGCTTGGATCTGCAGATATCTGACTATCTGTTAGCTCAATCTGTTAAATTTTTATATCTGATCATAAACTATCCGATAAAATCCGATGAATCCAGTAAATCTATTAAAAATTTGTACGAAATAAATATTGTAAATATATATTTATTTATATATTTAAAATATTTAATAAATATATATTTTATTTATATATTTTATATTTAACTAAAACATTAAAATATTTAATATATTGCTAATTTAAGTACATATTTTGCAATTATATGAGTCATATTTTATGCATATTACATTATATATTATATATAAACCTATTTTTTAGTCTTGAGAAAACATTGTTCCAATGTAATTTACGTTTCTTTTAAGAAACAACATTCGTTCAAATAAGTCTATATTTAAACAACTATGTTTTATGGTCATAAGGTTTCCTGCATCACTAAAAAGGCATTCACTGGCTGTCGAAATAGCAGAAACACATAAATATTTGTGTGCCATTTCACTTAATATTAGCAAAGTATTTTTTTGACTATTCTATTATTTTAGTAGATATTGTGTATTTGAAAGTTTTGAAAGTACAAGATAAAGTTGAATTTCTTCATTTGTTTCAGAATATTGAACAGGTGTATATATAGTGGTTAATAATATTTTTTTTTTCTTCTTCTTTATCTATCAGTATTGCATTAAGTGGCATTAACTCTGATTTTTGAAATCTTTCATATTCTTCCATTAAATAGGTTTTAGCTTCAAATCTTTGATCATCTGTAGCGAACTCTATTTTTTTATTATGAGGATCAAGAATTGTTGCTAAAAGAGATTTATGAGTTGAATAATTCCAGTAGTAATTTAAGGCATTAAGCAATGCTGACTTAACATAATCTACCATCCCTTCACAGTTTTGTAGAATATTAATTTTAACTTGGCTTATTTTTTTTTCTATTTCAATATCTAATATTTCTGGCTTATCAATAAATCCGATATCTTCTTGTAAATCTAAATTATCATCAAACACAGTATTTGAATCATCAAGATCTACTGTAATTCGAATGTTATTATCAATATTAAGCAATTTTTTTAATGAAGATATAGCTGTAAACATAAATGACATTGTAGCGTATTTGCTTCCGCCAAGCATTTTTGTAGCATTTGCAAAAGGCTGCAAAATTTTAACTAAATCATCCATTAACTGCCATTCGTTTGGTGTTAACATTATTCGTTTGAAGCGTCATGCATCTTTTTTGATTAGAGGATCATTGTTATAATTTAATGTTACTTGCATTATTTCAATAGCAGGTTTTAATTTAAGAATTCGAACTCATGCCAAGTATGTAGAGTTTCACCTTGTTGGAACATCAGCGATTGCTTGTAAATACTCATGATTTTTATTAATATTACTACACACTATTTGATCTAATAATGCTTGTGTAGATTCAAGTTGTTCACTTTGTTTGGACAACATAAAAAATTGTAGAAGTTATCTTGCCCATACAACCAATGTCTTAACTGGCAAAAGACCTTTACCCACTACAAGTTGTAAAATGTATGCACTACATGCAAGTCAATTAACTACTTCAATTTTATTAATTGCCTTTATTATATTTTTTGCATTGTCTGTAGTTATCATAAAACATTTTTCATTGATACCCCAATTTTGAAGAATTGATTTTAAAGTAATAGCAATTGTAAAACCAGAATGCAAATGTTTTAATTCATGAATTGCCAGAGTAATTTCTTGCATTTCAAATTGTGGATCAATATATAAACATGTGACTCCAATGAATCCTGAATACAGCATGCTGTTCACAAATCTGTCATTAATTCACAATACTTTATTGATTTCTTTAACTTACTACGAACAACTTCTGATATTTAATTATAAGCCAAATAAATTTTATTTTTTATTCCTTTATTACTAGGCAATTTGTAGGATGGACTAAGCATTAGTGAATATTTTATAAATCTCAGATTTTCTAGCATATAAAATGGCTGAGAATTAGTAACTATAAATTTAACCAAAGCTTTATCTACTTGTTCTTTATAAATGCCATTATCTTTTATTTGATGAGATTTTTCATTGTTTGCTAATTGAGAAATATATGATTCATGTCTTCCAAATTTTGTAATTTCATGCTTATTCTGAAGATGATCACTGAAATTTTCCATGTCACCATCAGTTTCAACCACATGATTACATAAACTTCCATCTTTTTTTAGTTCTTTGCACCATCCTTTAGACCCTTAGTTAGTGGGCAAATCTTTAAAATGATCTCATATCCAACTCTGTTTTCTTGATCCTTGTCTCAACTTTGAATTATTTTCTAGTGTAGCTGTTGTGGATGTAATATCCTTTAGAGAAACCTTATTAGGGTTTTCAATAAATGGAATATGTTTGTTATTGTTTTTCATTTTATAGGATTAATTAATGCTTATATGCCAAATTTACTGGAGTTCACTATTGGGAGTTTTTTTTCTGTTAATTTATCAATCATATATGATGCTTCATAAAGTAATACACTGATATTTATCAGGTATGTACATAGAGTTTTATAAGATAACAATTGGAAGTTTAATTATTTATCAAAATCTTTTTTTTAAATTTCTTTATTATTTATT